AAATAGCTAATGTCATCATAGTAATAATCCAGAATGATGGTCTTCAAATGATTTCCGCAACTTTTCATCTTTTTGAAATCTTCTAACCGCTAAATTATCGAACATTAGATTGTATGACCTGACATTATAAAATAATTGTGTTAAAGGACCTGAAATACCATCACACACTATGATCAAAAATAAAACAGAAGTGATTAACAAGCATTCAATTTTAAAGCTAAAGATTCACTGCGTCAAATATCCTATGAAACATACAATACTAATATATCACTCCAGTGTAGTGAAATTAGTGGCCTTGAATTTTCCGAGCCGACGTTTAAAATCAACAGGGTTAAGAGCAGCAACAACAACCTTAATCAAGACTTGATTTTCCTTAATTTCTGGAACTGATACATTGGACTCAAACTTCAAAACATCAGCACTTCCATAATCAGAATAAGTTCAAGCTTTCATTTAAGAAGAAATAGAAGTGCTTGTTGATGTTTCAACAGGAGCAGTTTGACAACTAGCAGAAACTCTAAGGGGAAAAACAGTGGAAAATTGGCTCCTTTGAATGTAATTTTCAGTTTTTCTACTACCCTTTAATCTAAGCACATAACATGAAGAAAATGGAAAATGAAGAGAAGAGAAAGAAGAGGGTGGGTGAAGGGGTTTGAGTTGAAGAGTAGTGGAATGCACGTACTCACCCTTCAAACTGCACTTGTAATCTTTCCATTTCTTTCCTATTGACTTTAAGACCCACGCTTCTCCACATTTTGGGATAGAGAACTTCTTCTGAAAAAATAAAAGGCAATATTTATGAGATAACATCATGTATAAAAGATAGAGCATGTTCAAAAAAAATATTAATAATAATAATAGCAACAATAATAATAATGACAACAACAACAACAACTATTCCATACCCTCACAAAATTGACCAATTTCTTCTTTTCTTCGTTGTCAAAATTTCTCCAATCATCTACATGTAGAGGTGTTAGTTCTGGAGTTCTGGCGATAATTCCTAGAAAACTAGCATGCTTTCGACCCTCTTTTCCAATAGCTTGGTTACGATTATTAAATGGTACATCAATTATCTTCCCCGGCGGAAGTTTCCAAATATCTTTTAGTAAAGTAGGCCCACGAACCTTTTTTGCTTCTGAATTACCTAGAATGAAAAAGAGAACAGAACGTTAGGTAGTACAATAGCTATTTAGGGAGGTTGTCCCTAAGGCTATCATAACTCTCCAGCTGATGCAATACATAAATCACAGATTGTTGTTTAAGGCTCATATGTAAATAAGCTATTGCCTACAGCAGGAACTCCTAGACCACTTATTCTACACTGTATGTTCACATATCAGATAAATTTGCGCACATAGAACAGGCCTAATTGTCTAGCCTCCTCACACACACAATGTTTCAGAAACTAGTTTCAGCATACTCCCATATGAAAGAGACCTTTAAAAATAAGCAATGTTATTAGTTCATTGGTACTAGTCCAATCCAAACAGTAAATATGCAATGCACATCATACAAAATGGTAGCAGAATACTCACTCCAAGAACAATCAAATTCAAATGTTATATCCTAACAGTACTAGTCCAATCCAAACAGTAGATATCCTAATCTTTCATATGCACAAACAAATCCATTTTCAAGTGTTATTCCAGGAACAAAATTTCAAATTCATTAACTATTTGAATCTAAAGTTGGCGTCTGAACAAACTATTTGAATCTATACTTGAGGTTTTTCATTTACTACACTGTTTAACATTGCATATGATTTCAGTGTGTTCTCTTCTCAAGAAAAACTGAAGGTTTTGTTCTTTGTTTCAAACAATGGATACCATTTTCAGGGTTAAACATCCTCACACATAAGGAAGTTTCTAGCTCATTGTTTCTGAAAACTTTATTCTGCTGCTTTAATTGATGAAAAACTGTGTCAAGCTGTTGAGAGCCAAAGATCTGCATAACACATTGCAAATATGGAGAAAATGTGATCTCATTATATGCAGACAATTGATGTCATCAACAAACTCCGTATGGATTTTGTAGAGAAAATAAATATAGTGGATGATAACATTTCTGGCTGCAGTAGGCATCATTTCATGCTCATCTACCAAAATACAGATCCAACATAATTTTGCGGATGTGAGGCTGCTACAACACAACTAGCTGAGAGGTCAGCAAATTCTTGTATTTGAAGATACTGATGTAGCAAAATAATAGTACTATGACTCATTCACCATACTGATTAGTATTTGAAGTACTTCTATTTTAAGTAATAAGTTCACGTGAGGTGGCTATATGAACAGGAAAAGACTCGTGTGGGTGACAACCGGTAACTATTTTCTCAGTAAGGCAATTCGCTAAGGCAGGGGCAGAACTACATGGTCTGAAGGGAATTCAATTGATATCGTTGAATCTTATTCTCAAGTAAAACTTTTAATGTACTAGTGAAGTGATTCAAACTATTATGGGTTGTAGATTCAAATTTCAAGCATTACATGTTAAATTTTTTGAATTCCATTATTAGAACTTGTAGCTTCATTCTGTATCCGCTTTTAAAAGTTGTGAAATTACTTGGTTACAGAATCAGGAAACGAACGTAGTTATTTCTTGTACCGTTTGTATTTTGTGATCACTCCATACTCAACATAAAATCACAAGTTAGCTGACCCCGTGGGGTACTAAACCCCAAATAAATGGAATTAGGATACAGTGAATAGAATAGGAAATGTGGAACTGTCTTGATTACAAGACCAACCCTTAATTATGGAAGAATCTCTACCATTAACTGCGCTCAACTGTCAGCCTACCTTGCTTCAATCATACTCATATACTTAACTATTGCCGAGGCTTAGTTAATGTTTCCATACCATACAATAGTGGGGAAATTCGAAATCAACCAACATATATAGCAGATAATGAGAAGAGAAAAACTAATAACAAGGAATAGATATAACATACCAGCATTGGTTTTGGAAACAGGAAACCTCTCATATCTTTTTACAGTCTATAAATTTACACAAATGTATCTGAAAGACGGCAGCATGGTAATAAATAAGTTGCATCCTTATTTAAATCGTTACCGCTGCCTATCTAGTAAGATAAAGCAAAAATGTACATTCTGAGGTTACCAGTAAAATCTTAACGGAAAATGAATAACCAAAATAGAAGCACAAACTGGTCTAAAAAAGTAAATGTACCAAAGGTCGTGTTTATGTTGTTCCGAAGTCAGACCCAGGCTTCCTATCTAATGCCTCTCTTATTGATGAACTATATCTACTGAAAACCATCCGATACCCCCAAATCCAACAGAGTTGAAAAAGAAATAAGAACAAGAAATGGGGAACTGTGTCAAGCTGTTGTTTCCCTTTGTTCTTCTTTCCTTCTACTTATAAAGAAGTGAACTTTAGCACAATCTTAAGTATCTAGATCTACCTTTAAAATCCATCAGGAGACATATAGACTCTTTAGAATTAGGTAAAAAGTAATCAAGAAAAGAGTGCAAAATGAAGCACAAAGTAAATCAAATATCAACTTCTGTTAAAAAAGACCAACCATTGGCACAACTTCTGTTAAAAAAGACCAACATCCAACCATTACAAGGAAACAAGGATAAACAGTATTGAAAGCCATCATCTAATATTATACATAATCAGATTGAAATACTACAGAAGCATTACCTGACTTGTCATCATGTTGAATCTCAGTGCCACCATTAGAACTATTCAACTCATTAGATTGACCATCATGTGCTTGAGCGTCAGAGTAGTTCTGACTATCCATCAATTGCTCAATATATGGCTGGGCTCTAGAGTAGTTTTGACCATCCATCAAGTGCTCAATATAAGGTCTCACATCTTCATCATAATCTTGTTCAATTACCAGTCGGTTGTGACCTCTAGTTTGCATAGTTCCTTTTTCCAAAATAAAGAAATTATCTAGATGCATTAAGTTATACTAATACCAAATTAACTCCAACCAATTAACATACAGACTTTGGCAAAAGAAAAGGGCACAATAGAAACATTGTGGAGTAAATTCTCAATGCGATACAATAGTATAACAACACAGGATAGATTTCATGAAAGGAAAGGATTCAATAGGAGGCTAAACGAACTTCTGGCCAAAAGCAGTGCATTTGTAAAGTACATGACTTTGGAGTTAACTATTTTATCTTGTTGCACATGTGATGTTATTGTGTCCATGAATTACAACTAGAAGAGTTATCGTAATGGAATCGATGACTCAGTTGATGAAGTTAATGGGCATCAGCGTAACCAAAACATGCTACTGCAAACTAATGGGAGGAAGTAGCTGGGGATACTATCAAAATTCATCAGATAAGTAAGGACAGTAGGTGATAATGGACACACAGAATGGTCTATGCCCAAAAATTGTTGTATATTATATGAAAATGCAGGTACTGTACTGGATTCCAGATGTATAAATTACAACAACATATACGAGAAGCGAAAACAATCCCACTGTCTAGAGTAGGGGTCCTCATGCTATCACGCTAGGATGCAAGAAATGCACAACGGCAATATCGAAGTGAACTATCAATCTAACAGCAACCACAAACGACTTAGCAAATGCAGAAAAAACTGCACTTTCACAAATTCATAGCCTATTTAAAAATCTACAGCCAAACATGAAGTCTTGAAATCAAAGTTTCCTAAAATGTAAACATTCGAGCAGCATCAATCAAAAATCTATTGCAAAACGATTGCAAAAAACCGATTTAACAGGGGGAGAACAGAATCGACGAGGACTATCAATTTATCAGAATTTTGAACCAATTTAACAGGGGAAGAACAACCTATTTAAAAATCTACAGCCAAACATGAAGTCTTAAAATCAAATTTCCTAAGATGTAAATAATCGAGCAACATCAATCCACTGTAAATCAATCTATATAAACAATCGAGCAACATCAATCCAAAATCTATTGCAAAACAATTGCAAAAAATCGATTTAACAGGGGAAGAACATAATCGACAAGGATTGTCAATTTATCAGAATCGAATCGATTTAACTGGGGAAGAACAGAACTGATTTCCTAAGTTCTCAATTATCAGAGAACTTACCTGGAAAAGAATAAGAGGACTATCAGACTATGGCAGGCCGTTGACGCAGTAACAATTAGGTTTCCCTATGGCAGCGACTGGATCCCTTCTATTCAAGGGAATATTGGTTTCCTAAACTTTTCTAATTGGAGGGAACCGATAATCTCGTCCAAGGTTTTCCTAAACTTTTCAAATTGGAGGGAACTGATAAATCTCGTCCAAAAAATTTGGAGGGAAGATATTTCTCTTTTTGTGTCGCGGGAAAAGTTAAAAAAATAAAAATTTTAATTTAATTGGTAATTTTTAGTGGCAATTGTTTTTTCATTGCCGGTAAAAGGATAACTTTTACTGGCTAATGGCCATGTGCCGCTAATTTTTTAGCTTAAAGAATTTATTAGCAACAATTGTCTTATTGTCGCTAAATAATTGCCGCCAAAAGTCTTTTTTGTAGTAGTGCGAATTACGCTAGCTAGCTTTTATTACAGCTCATTTTAGATCGCACCCAAGGCTTCGTTATCCCTAATCTCGCCTTTAAACCCTTAGTTATTGATCCCTCATATACTTTGGGAGTGGTGTTGTTCAACAATTACCTAAATATGCACTCTCTCCCGAGTAATACATACTAAATAGGCATAGCTAATTGAGGATCCTATCAATTAACTACAACAAGACGTAGTTGAACAAATAGAGAATAAACCGAGCAAACTATATTAACATAACACGAAGTTCATCCTTCAGCAAAATCCATCAAAACCCTAGACTAAATATTTAGCTACTCATAATCGTATTCATCATAACAATGGCAAAATTCATCATAAATGGTAAAATACAAAAGGAAGAAAGGAAGAACTCGATGTTGAATTATCCTCCTTGCCTCTTGCCTCTCCTTCCTTCAACTAAGCTGTAAAACCTTGATAATATCCCTTTAGGCGAGCTGGACCTCTTATAGGTTAAGTGGAATTACCCCCGAACTTCCAAGTTTACCCCTGAAATTATATAATCCGAACTGGACTAGCGCGGCCGCGCTCGTGCCCACACTAATGGCCGCGCATATAACATAGTATTCTGTCTCGAGGTTCTGGACAAGCGCGGTCGTACTAGTGGGCGCGCTAATGGCTGCGCTAAGCTGGTCATCATTTTAACTCATCTTTTCTCTCTTCTTTCACACGCACTCAGCTCCGAAGGGCTTCCCTTTCTTTGATTTAGCTCCAAACACTGTCCTAAGTCCTCATAAGCGCAACTCGCTCCTGCAAAACATGAAATTCACAATTAGAGCCAATTTATTGTCATTTAACTATCCTAGAACAGTAAAACATAGTCAAACTGGGGCATAAACAGTCGCCAAATTACATGAATCTAGCCTATTATCAACACCCCACACTTAAATCATTGCTAGTCCTCGAGCAATCCACCACACTCTATAAAGGTTCCTTCACTAAGCTTTTCCCCTAACGTATCACACCAAGAACAAATCGCCAAATTTACGTGTAGTGTACAATCTTTGTCTCAAAAATCGACTCTCATGTGCCATGCAATATTCGTACTTACTCATATTACTCTATACATAAGTCAAAACTTATCTTTCCTTCGCGAATCACACGCTCTCACATCACATAAGAGAGTAGTTCCACAAATAATAATATTAAGAACAATTAGGAACTTATATAGACAAAATCCGCTCACTCTCCGAAAGAAAATTCTTATGCCACACAGATGCACCATAGGCTTGCCCGTAGTGTACTACTCTACTAATCGAGCCCATTCAGTCAAAGATCAATTAGGACTTCATTTGGTTGTAATGTAGTCTAAGGGACGAGTAGAATATATTTGGATATATTGACTAACCTCCCTAAGCACTTTTAATACAATCTAATTAACATTCAAAACCATACTTATGTCAACCAGACATTCCACCACACTTCTATTTATAACATCCCACTCCATTAGGTGCAATTGTATCAAGTCACCACTTATCAAATACTACTTTTACTCATTCTATTTTCTTTTTTTCTCTTTTTTTTTTCTCTTCTTTTTAAGTGGTGCTTATTCTTTTACTTTTTTCAAATACTGCACCTTTTCTCTATTTCACCAGTTCCACTCAAAAATCAAACCACAACCCCACACTTTAGCTTTTGCATATTTCATAACCATTCAAGTGCTCATGGGAGGTAAAAGGGTTCAAACAGATGGGTCGTTCAAATAATTGGGTAAGGTTCGTAATGTGGTTGCCAAAGAAACAGGCTTATAGGCTCAACGAGGTTAACTACAATGTATTGCATTTAGGTGGGTCTACTTTATATATCTGGCTTAACAAAGAAATGCCTATATCACTTCTAAGACTGAATAAAACTACTATTTCGCTTTGAAAACACACGGGGCAAGTTCTAGGCATCAAATGCAGAGCATAGAATATAGTACAACTCACACACACATGACACATGACTCACTCCAGATTGGCTTATCAAGACACTCTCGCTTGAGTATTCAAGTCAGTTACAAACATACAATTTATGCACTCTAGCAAGAATCAACCACTGAGACTAAGCGTTACACTCTAGTGTCTAATGTGTTTAGGTGTATCAACGCCAAAGGTTTCTCTTTCTATTTCAGCTCATAGCCCATCAATACTAACAAAAAACTAGAAACAAAATAAACAAAAACTAATTACGCCTGGTTCAAGGAAAACTCTTGGAAAAGAACCGTGGCCCAAAGAAAAACCAAAGGGGAGTTACTACACTACCTAAAACAAAAAAAATCTTTTTGGTATCTTCTTTAGACTTACTTCCCTCAAGAAAACTGTCTAGAAGATCCGTCATCAGGAAGAGTCCAACATATTTCTGTTTTTTTTTTAGATTTTCACGTCGACTTAGACCCTCAAGAACCCCGTAGAAAGAGATCCATCATGGGGGCAAGTCAACTTACCTACTTTGAACTTACCTAATTTGACTATTACTCAAAACCACCAAAAACAATCAAGAAAAATAAAGAAAACATCAAACAGTCAAGTTGTTACATATACACACATACATTGAAGTATCCCCCACCCCACGCTTAAAAGGAAGACATGTCCTCATGGCATACAAAATAAAGAATAGTGAGATAAAGGAACTTCCCTAAATGATCACTTTTGATCGGAGACCGTGTCCGGGTTCAGATTGCAAGCACGACCCAGTGCTCTCAGCCAGCCCAATATTTTCTTCTCCAATTTCACCTACTCGGCAGCCACTGCATCAACCTGTGTACCTAAGTTAGCGACCGAGGTACGCAATCCAGCCACCTCCTACTCTATAGCTGTGAACAGGGTAACCCGAGCAGCCCTAGATGGTGCTGTATCTGCTGCAACTTGCTCATGGGCCGGTGACTCGGCCCTCACATCCTCCTGCTCAGCCTCCTCTTCCTCAGAGTCATCAGATTTACCACTATCATCACCACTTGCTGCCACCGACTCCTTTCTAGTGGTTACCTTATTTGCCCGGAACTTGGAGTCTTTTGGCACTATCCCATCCACAGCTGGATTTTTCGGCACCCGAACTGCTCGACACAGTATAGTAACTAAGGAAGGGAAGAAGAACCCATACCTTTTAACCGAACAACATATGAATATCTCCTCATGAATCAGCTTGGCCACGTCAAAGTTATGACGATTCATAAAGCACCATATTAGAGCCGCTCGAGGACCATTTACCTCCGTGGTGTTGGAAGACGGGATCAGGCGGTTGTTGATAACATATAACCAGCACTTCCCTTCAAAGGTTAGCGCCGTGGAGTGATACTTCTGACCATACTTCATCCATGTAATTTCCTTGCCGGGTACACAGATTGTTGGAAAGAACAGCTCCCACTACGTGTGTGATCTGCCATACATCTCATAATAGTCTTCATACAGATCCACAAGAGCGGCATTTAGTATATCCTTCGTATAGCCTCAACAGAGGCATCCACCGCCTTTCTGTGCACCGTTACTACGCCATTCACATGTTCCTTTACATTGGCGTAAAACTCACGAACAATCATCATATTCCCCTCGTTCGGCTCTACAAGGAAGATTTGTATCCCCTTCCTTACCAGCTCATTATACAAGTTTAGGGTAGCCTAGCTGGACCGACCCTATATCTATGCCCCTTTCCAGTATCGGTTTCTTAGGGGCCTTATCTGCAAAGCGATCCTGAGCCTTGGCAGAGACGAACCTACTACTATCAAAGGGACGAGCATGAGCTGACCCGCGTGCCTTGGACGATCCAGCTTGACTGCTGGAAGAAGCACCTATGGTGCAGCGTTTCCTAGATGGAGCCATAGTACCTGGAAAAGGAATAGCATTAGCACATCCCAAAAAAATAGGACGCAATGCAGTTACTTAGACTTCATGCGCACAATTGGTCAGAATTACTCATTTACGTTCACTGTGGCATTTAAACAAACACCTTGTGGGCACTATATACCCACACCCCAATTCAAACATTTTGCACCCTAATACCACTACAATTTCCCCAAAATTCACCCACTAAGTTAAGATAAAACTCCACCAACATTACCACCCACAATCACTACAACAACACTACAATTTCTACTAAGAAAATAAAAGAAAAGGCTACTACATAATTAACAAAAAATAAAAGCGAAAATCTGAAGAAGAAAAAAAAAGAAAATTGGAAAAAAGAGAAACCTTACCTGTAGTGAGAGTAGATGGTGAAAAGCGAAGAAGAGTAGGGGAGGGTTGGGTTTGAGCCTTGGGGAGTTTGGGAATGGAGAAGAGGGAATTGTTTTTTGGAGAAGAAGGGAGTTAGGGTTGGGAATTTTTGAGCGTGTGGGATTTTGGGAGTGAAGAAGAGGGGAGTAATTAGAGTTGGGGGGGGGGGGGGGGGGGGATAGTTGGGGGAAATAACACTTAAACAATTATACAAAATAAAAAAATAAGACAAAATGTTAAGTTAAACAGGCGGAACTAGTGCGGTCGTAGCGCGGTACGAGCGCGGCCGCACTAGTCAAAACAGTGTACTTGGCCATATGCGCGGCCATTTGCGCGGTCACAGTGCGGTCATAGCATTGTCATAGAGATGTTGAGGCAGAATTTTTGCCCATACGTGCGTCCTGTAGCGCAGTGGGTAGTGTGGGCGCGCTCCTGGGCACGAAAAGTTTCCATTTTTTCACCTGTTCTTTTCGCGTCTGATGGACTTATCACCTGCCCAAGCTCACCTATATTGGTTAGTACTT